TGTTCACTGCCTGTTGGTGATATCTAAGTATCGAGGTGTTCAGTCCATTCGCATGCATCTGCCCGAATTTATCCGATGGAAGACGTTCGTCGAAGATTTCTGAATCTGTGTCAAATATCAACTGGACTAGTAGACGTTGACTTCGTTGCGTAGTATTTGCAGGTGTTCTGTTGTACTGTCGATGAATATTAATGAGTTGGTGGCAATGGATTATGGTTTCAAGCTGTTCCCTGCACCCAGACCTGAAAATTCATATTCTCAGAAGGACTGTTGCAGATCAGAAACGAACGTAAATGACTGTAGTATAAATTTATCCCTAGGTTCCAAGCACTGCATCCTTGCATATAATGGAAACAGCATAAAACGCGCAACGAAAACAGTATGGTCGATAGGATGATCGAAGCGGTGCCAGTGTTCCGGCTCGTGTCTCATGGGCCCACGACAAGTTGAGAAATCGGTAAAGTTTCTTGCTCTCCGCATCGGTTCGTACACTAGGACTCAGAAGGCACCGCCCCATCTTGCGCGAAGAAATTATGGTAGGTGGAGACCGTGTGTTAGGTTGTCATAGTACCCGATGGAGATGGCTCTCGGCACCGCTTCTTTCATACGGTTGATTTTTTGGCACACAAACTACAGCTGTGACTTCGTTTTTCTCATGTACAGTCTCAGCTGCATCCTTTCCACCCTTCCATCGTCCTAAGTGTACCGAATTTTTTGTCGTATATTTGAAACTGCATCTGTGCCTACAGTAAGTTGGGCGTCAGATCGGGTTCTGAGCATCTGAGCAGAAAAATGAGACCGTTTTTACGTTGCTGTTTTTCCCACTTGCTTGGATCGTGAGAAGGTGAACGAACCGTCATACTGTCGGATGTATCTGAAGATCGTGTATTTCGCCTGTGAGTTGGTGACATCATATTACATGTGGCACAAGGTTAGTTTATTTATTTATAACGCTGAAAATATGGCCAGTCGGATTATTGACCAGGACTGACATTTCAAGGGAGGGGTGTCTCACGGTTGTTATTCAAGTAAAGGAATTGGTGGAGTTTTGGAAGTCTTCCTGTTGCCCACTGGTTGTAGTTGCTTCATTACCTTAAGCTGAAAGACCTTAGATATCAGACATTACGTAGGTCAACGAAATCCGACACCCTAGAAATGAGAAAGAGACGTACAGAACAGACCACTCGTAGCAAAGTCACATGATAAACTTGCCCGATGAGCATTCGTATGATTCGATGAGTCTGTTGAGCACCTGACCTTGTCAGACCTTGAAACCAATGCGATGGAACTTGTCTGATTCACGAGATGAATGAAGAAACCTCTAGAAACCGCTGTCTCCACCGTCCAAAGGCAGTAATGGGCTTTCAGAAGTAACGAAGGAATGAACGTAATTAGACAACGTTCGCTTTCGGTTTTCCTTATTGAAC